GGGTACATTGTAGCTCGTAAGGAAAGAGGGAATTAATCACATTATTTCTCAAATCTAAAGTTGTGAAAAAGTATTTTAAAAGTAACTTTAGAAGGAAAATGATTCTGCATTTTCATGTTTTTGTGTAATGCGTTTTTAAAATATGTTTAATTTTGAAGACAATTAAATATTTGTAAAACATTTAATTGGAGTTTCCTTTTGTTTTATCTTAGTGCATGTACAATGTTTGTTTACACCTCACTGTCCTTATTATTGGTTTTGATACTCAGTACCCATATATCTGCACTTTGTTTTCAAAATGTTACTAAATTCTGAACTGAATTGTATTATCTAAATATGTTCTTAGTTTGCCTGCCCCTAATTACTCTAATTATGAATATGATTTTTTGGGGTAGTTTAGCAGGTTAAGAAAAGCAATTTCAGTTGTTGTTTTTTTTTACATGCAACAAACTCCTGAATATATAATAAAAGTGCTTCACTGTCTTGATTTAGCATTCTCTGAATATATTTTCTAGACAAAAGCCTAGGTTATTTCACTTAATACTGGAGTAAATAAACTTGGATAAAATATAATAAAGTTCGCTGTGAAAACCATGAACTGAATAATTCACGTGCATGTTGTGTATTTCTGTTAGTAGTTAGAAATTGTTGTTTTATTCAAATACATTCATACATTTATAATCCATCCCCCAGTTCATATTTTGTCAAGGAGCAAGCAAAGCTTCCCCTTTGCATATAAGAACTTGTATGTGCTTTGGCAGTGAAAACCAGGGTCGGACTGGGAAAGATATTCGTCACTTTCAAAATGAGCATGTTGGTTCAATGCTCTTCCAGGGCAGCCTCTGTGGGGAGCTTTGCTAAAGTGCTCTTGCATGAGAAAAAGGCCCTGTATTCGTTCTGCGCAATGCAAGCAAAAGTATAAATATGCTTGCACGGTGTTTGCTTGTGACTTGTCTTTGGTATCTCCATAAATGTGATAACAGATGACAAAAGGGCCAGGAAAGCGTATTGTGCATGTGTTTGGAGCCTGCTTGTGGGATTGAGTGTGTGTAGAGTGAGCTGATTGTGGTGTGGTATTGTGTATATAGATCAGTTTTAGTTGTCTTATGGTGTAAAATGTGTGTCTAGGGGCTCTAGAGAGTGAGAGAGAGTTTATATAGGGGACATAGTGTGCATAGGGATGTAGTGAGTGTGTGCATAGCGGCTGCAGTGTATGTATGTATAGGTGATGTAGTGTGTGTAGGGGTTGTAAAGTGTGTGTGTTTAGGGAATGCAGTGTGTGTGTTTGCTTACATGGGATCTTGTGTGTGCATATGGGATCCAGAGTTTGTATTTCAGGAATGTAGTGTGTGTGCCCATAGGAGATTTAGTTTGTGTATAAGGGATGTAGTGTGTGTGTTTGGAATGTAATGTGTGTATGGGTGCAGTGCGTATGTGTGGTGAGGTGTTCAGTTTTTGTGTGAGGGGTGCAGTGTGTGTGTGTGTGAGGGGTGCAGTGTGGGTGTGTGTGAGGAGTGCAGCATGTGTGTGTGAGGGGTACAGTGTGTGTGTGTGTATTAGGGGTGCAATGTGTGTGTGTGTGTGTGTGAGGGGTGCAGTGTGTGGGAATGTGCAGTGTTTGAATGTGTTGGGAGATATTATGTGTGGGAGGCAGATTAAAGGGTGTGTATATAATAAAAAAAATACCGGCACTCCAGGATTTGGTAAAAAAAAGAAAGGTTAGTTCTTTATTCTTACAGTTCCCGTCTGGAACTAACCTTTCTTTTTTTACCAAATCCTGAAGTGCTGGTATTTCTTTCATTATTAATACTTTATGTGACCATAGCACCAGGTATTTATTTTGTTAAAGTTGGAGTGCAGGAGCCTTGGATTTATTTATATATATATATATTTTATTTTATTTATTTTGCATTAAAAAAATATACTTACATACTTAGTATGTCCCCTCCCTTCTTACCTTTGCTAAGGGTGTGGGGACCTGGTGGTCGAGTGGTGAAGCCTTTGTGGTCCAGTGGTGAGTGAATTCTAGCCTGCAGTTCTTGGGGCTAGAGTTCACTCTCACGAGATCGGAGCATTGCCAGAGTAACCGTGGCAGTGTTCCAAGCTCATGATAGAAAGTACCTGGCAGAGCTGCTGGCTAGAGCTCCTTAAGAATAAAGAACTAACCTTTCCTTCTCTCTCCTCTCTCAGTTGCCGCAGTGAAATGCCTTTTGGCTAGTGAGGGAGATCTTTAATCTTCCCACCGCCCCATCATGGCACACAGCTGGGCCGGTGCTCGTATATCAAAACTATAAGAACTTTTGCACTCCTAATCCTGATGAAAGTCCTGAAACGTCGATTTGACTGAAACGTCGATTTGACAATAAAGTATTTTGATGTTGGAAATCCAGGAGTGCTGGCAAACGTTTGTTATATATATATATAGCTGTATCCCTATATTGATTTTTGTTATATATTTTGTCTGTTTTGGGGACTTACTGGGTAGGTCTCCTGGAAAGCTGCCACCACTAAACATTCACTAAGATAAATTAAAAGCTAAGTGTTATTCAATATGTTATTATCATTTGCCTAAAGCCTGTTGTACAAGTTGTTTGCAACTCGTTGGCTGAAAACATCAGCTGATTGCTCCCAGCCAATGAGCTAAGACCTATATTTTTGGGCTTATCTCAGTGAAGAGAGCTTCTGGCTAGAGAAAAGGCTGCAACTTGTGCAGAGCGGACCCCAGGTAAGAAGGCAAACCATTAGCAAATAATCTGACTACTTGAATTTAGAAAGGGGATGCCAGAGCAGTACTGGCACCATAATCACTACAGTATGTGGTGGTTATGATACTTGAAGTGTTCCTTTAGCAAACATATTGCTTTAAAAATCAATATTATAAGAGATCAAAGAAGAAAAATAATTAACAAAAAAGTACTCAATGACTCCATAACCACTGACTGTAGATACAAATATCCATCTCACTATCTATCCTAGCTGTTCATATAAGGGTTAATTTGAACCAATAATAAATTTGGTATTGTATCTCCGATTCTCAGAAATAAAATTTATCTAAAATCCTAGTTACGGGAAAAGTACTGATTTCGAAATGTTCTTGTTAATTGTCCAAGATTTCGGTATTTGTAAATATCTGTTTTTTTATCAAATATGCATGCGTTATATAACTAGAAACAGCGGTTCATAACTTGTGAAAAACAATCTACGTCATTAATGCTCATGGCCCCTACCGACGTGAAAATGAGGTATAATAAAATTTGAATTGGTTATTGAACACATCTCTGCTATTCATTTCCAATTTCCAGAGCTCTGAATGAGTTGGCAAATATCCATCATCCACAAAGGGCCCGGGCTGATTTTATCCCCAACACTGACAATTATTTGTCAAATTAATAACAGTAAAATGACTGATTCAACTATTCCTCTGATCATACCTACATCAGAAAATCTCCAGAATTAATAAATTGTGGCTGAAAATATACAAACTAGCCCAGGTACTGACTATGAAATGGTTGGGCACAGAGTACTTTAAAATGAGGTGTAATAACTGTCTTGAATTCACTATTTAGCTTTATAAATAAACAGGACAAATCAGGGAGACACTGGTTGGACCTATCCATTATATCTATATTTTAAAAACACAACAATCAGCTCAACAAACTGAATTTAGTTTAATTTAATTATATTCAGCCCACTGGTAGGGTTCGGTTATTTATGGGAACTCATCATTATTAACGTGCAGAGCTGGATATTACAGAAAAGGCTGAGATTGAAGAGGAAAGAGGGGAAAATCAGGTAAAATACATTTATCTTTTTTCAACTTTTATCAGAATTTCCAGTAAATAATATATTCACACTTTTCTAGAATGTAAACGTTTACCAGTGTTTGGTGATCACAAAGCTTACATTGTATACATTTAAAAATAGTTACAGATATCAGTTTATTAAATAACTCTTCAATTTACATTTTTATTGAACATTTTATCTGTAATATAGTGCCTTATCCACTGCCCATTATATAGATTTGTAATCTTACAATAATGGGAAATTAAGTTGTGATATTAAGTTGTGATACAGTTATTGCTTTCAAATCTCTACATAATGCTGCTCCCACCCATCTATCCTCCCTTATACACAAGTATGTCCTGTCTAGGCCCTTACGATGTGCTGAAGACTTACGTCTATCTTCTGTCCGTACTCCCACCTCTGATGCTCGCCTTCAAGATTTCTCGAGGGCTGCACCGTTTCTGTGCAACTCGCTTCCCTCCTCCGTTAGATGCTCACCCAGTCTCCACTCCTTCAAAAAAATCGTTAAAAACCCACTTCTTCATAAAAGCGTATCAGCTTTTTTTAGCTCCTGACTGATTCCTCTTCTGCAACTGTCACTAGTCTAATACTATCCTTACTTTTTGTGTCATTATACCCCACTCCCTCTAGCATGTAAGCTCATTGAGCAGGGCCCTCAACCCCTCTTTTCCTGTGTGTCCAACTTGTCTGGTTACAACTACATGTTTGTTCGTCCACCCATTGTAAAGCGCTGCAGAATTTGACGGCACTATATAAATAACATTATAATAATAAGTTTGTGATAGAATGAATTATTAAAATATTAGATTACAAGGAACAAGACTAGTGCGTATATTCATGATCATCATTATCGAAACAGAGAGACTTACAGCTGGAACTTATTCACTAAACAGTGACCTGCACAGAATTCTAAAACAAGTTACAAAAATAAAGCTACAATAGCCAAGAGAAAGAGCTGAATTGGAGTTTTTATCACCACTTCGCTAACATCAACTGACTATTTACAGAATAAACTGTTAAAGTCCTTTAGGAAAAATGTCTTCTAGAAAAAATGTAGAAAGCTACATGTTAACTAGAAAAATACTGCAGAAAAATACTGGGGTTTTATAAATATTTTAGAGATATTTTGTGCATAAACAGATATAATTTTTTATTTCCTTTGCTAGAAATTCGATACCTGAAAATAAAGCTTCGAGATGGAGGGATTGAAACATAAACATTATCATGATGAAGAGTTTGATCATCATTTGATTATAGAAACATATGTTGGTCGTGATAAGACGGATTCAAAAGATGAACTTTTAATCACTACAATGCAAAAAATATTTCAGTGTTTGTGTTCAGGTAAGTTCATTTTCAACATATATATTCTGTCCTCAGTGCCACCAGTATTAAAGGGTCACTCTCACAGTTATTTGCAAAAACCCGAGGTGACTTGTCTGCTTGAATTTTGTCACCAGGGAAAAGTGAGAACGGAGATAAATGAATCTAAGCTCTGCCTTATTGCACCGTCAGCTTCTGGTCTTCAATTTCTGTAATCTGAAACATTAAGAGCTGTGTCATTTTTGTGCTTATGAAAACATGAAAGTTAAAATCATGAAGGCAAAATAATATGTATAGTTTTGAGGACAGATGGGACAACATGTTGCAATGTATGGATCTAGTCAGGTAACTGTACAAACTGTATACAGCCTTTATATCCATATACCGACATTATTTTAACATCCCAATGGCATTTTGAAAAGAGGTATATCAAAATGTGGTTTTATTCTAAGCGAATGTGATAGCCATTTACCCCAGGCTCAAAATGCATGTAACAAAAATAAACAATAATTTTAGTGAAGGTGATATTTTTACTAATTTGTTTCTCCCCAGGTATTGTGAAAGGAGAGACTCTGATAGACCTCACTGTTGGTGCAGGCTTTTGTCATTTATTGGTTATGTCCGAATTCTTTAAGGAAATCACCATTTTGGATTCATCAGATCGAACGCTTTATGAAATTGAGAGATGGCTGAATAAGGAACCAGGAGCTGTAGACTGGTCTCATGCTGCTGAAATTTCATGTGAACTTAAGGGTGTGAGGTAAGTCTGCTGGGTTAGAGAAATATTCCCTTACATTTTTCAATTTTTGGAACAAACTGACCCCATTGACCATGTCATGTATACACGTTTTTACTTTCATTAAAGGGATCCTATAGTGCCAGGAAAACAAAGCCATTTCCTTGCACTATAGAGTTAATAGGTCCCTCCCTCCTTCATGCCCCCCCTCCCGCAGGGCTGAGAGGTTAAAACCCATTCAGCCACTTATCTGAATCCAGTGCCGATGTCTCTCCATTCAAGCTCCTCCCCCACCGATGTCGGCCGGCAGGGGAGACCTAATGCGCATGCGCGGCAATGGCCGCATGCATGCATTAGACCTCCCCATAAGAAAGCATTATTCAATGCTTTCCTATGGGGAAAATCTGACACTGGAGGTCCTCATGCAGAGCATCAGGTAACGGACCAAAAGTCAGTTTGGATTCCGGAAGCCCTCTCGTGGCTGTGTGGTAGACAGCCACAGAGGGCAGATTTAGAGCTGCAATGTAAACATTACACTTTCTCTGGAACTGAAATGTTTTACATTGCAGCTCTAGGTGCAAAAGGAACACAGCACCCAAACCATTTCAATGAGTTGAAGTGGTCTGGGTTCCTACAGTGTCCCTTTAACTTTGCAAAACAAAATTTAGTACATAAAGCCATACTCACCCTCATTTATACTCCAGGAAGGATCACCAGCCTGTTGGGGAAAACATTTGTCCTCCATTAGCTCATGACTGCACAAAAGCCTAGCTATGCCCATCACCAGATGACACGCCTTCCACCTCAGTAAATGGACATGGATACAGAATATGTGGATAGGACTTGGCCACCAAACCAGCATAACTTTTCAAATACTTAAATGGACACTCTATTGCTCAAATACAAAATAAATTTAAAAAAATACTTGTTAGTAGATATACACCAAATGACAACTTGCATGGGTTTAATTATGCATATTTTTTTTCATTCAGGGGATATCAAAAACAGCTGGCAAAGCTACAGATCTCTTATCTGCAGCCTTTGCAAGCCCTCATCTTCTAATCCCACCTAAACCTCCTGTGGCTGTCTAATCACAGACTCCCAGTGCAGCTTAAATAGTAGTCTTTGCAAGGCAGGTGCTCTGGGCAATTGCTGCCTCTTGAGTTTAGTTCCACTGAACTAACCAAACAAGGAAGTAACAGAATCAGTTATATATTCTTTCTATCAATCCTCCAGTTTGCCTGCTACAACTCAGCTTCTCACCAAAGTGGAGACAGGCCAGGTACATGAAGTGGATGTCAAATTCACTCAAGAAGGACATCAGGAAGAGCTCAAGCATGTAATTTCAAGGTAAGTACTTTGCTTTTAATTTGATTTTGTTCTCATTTAGGCAACAAAAGTAAGACCAAATATAAAAGGAATTGATCATCTGCTAGATGAATGTGTGTACTGATCAATTTCATTAATTATTTTTTATTATATTAAAATGAATTGAATATATCAAATTTCAGTGAATTAGTGGAAGCTGAGGAAGATAAAGTCAGAAGAATTGTGAAACGTTGTTTAAAATGGGATCCCACCAATGACAATCCACTGGGTTCCATCGTACTGCCTCAAGCAGACTGTGCAGTAAGCATTGGGTACCTTGATGCCTCCTGTAGAGATCATGAGAGTTATCGCAACAGCTTTAAAAAATTCTCCTCCCTTGTGAAGGTGGGAGGTCACCTCATTCTGTTTGCCTTTTTCAATGCGAACTTTTACACAATTGGTGATCACAGGTTTTCGATTTTAAATTATAATGAAGAGTTTGTGAAGGAAGTTCTTCGAGACAATGGGTATACTTCTGTGATTTTTGAAGTATATGAAAGCAAAGTAAATGACGACTTAATGGATCATAAATATATTGGGTTTATTGTAGCTCACAAGGAAAGAGAGAATTAACCAAATTAATTCTAAAATCTACAGTTGTGAAAAAGTCTTTTGAAAGTAAAATTTAATGTTATTCATTAAATATGTTTAATTTTAAAGACTTTTTTAATATTTACTTGGCGTTTTTGTCTCTCTCTTCTTAGTGTGAATACAAAGTTTGTTTATACCACCATGAGCTCATGATTGATTTCGATACTTAGTATCCACATAGCTTTACATGTATGTAAAATTAAGTTTTACAAAATTCTGCACTGAATGTTGTTACTCACATATGTTCTACTTTGGTTTGTCCAAGTTATTCCAATTATGAGTATGGTTATTTTGAATGGCCAATAGTTATATGTTATATACAGGGTAATTATTACCCAGCACACACATCTGTCTTTATTTTAATTTTATTACTATACTTAAAAAAAAAAGAAGAAAATTTAGATATATCTGCCAAACAAATAACCTATAATCCATTAAATTGGAAAGTAAAAATGGATAAAACATTGATAAACAATCCCCCTTTGCATGGAATTAAAATGATAAATAATAAAATGTTGTGCAATATATGTTATTATAAACGAGCTGCTACACACTTAAGTGCTGTGACTCCAGATTCAGGCACACTTGAAGTACAAGAGAAAAAAATAAAGAATACGTGTATTAAACTCATGGATTTTCTTCATTTCCGTCCTCCCTATTTATTTGATTAAAATCACCTCCTCTCCAATCGTGGTATACCTTCTGAATGCCTTTAAAATGTAAAGAAGGGTCACCATTATGGTAATCTCTAAAATGAAGTGAAACATTGTCTTTTGATGTCTTGTAGTCCTTCCTATATATTAAGTATATTCAAATGTTTCCCTTCTCATTATGGGTTGTACATAGAGGTTTGAGTATATCTCATTTTTTTGCGCTCCACTTATTCTATATTTTTTGTACATAACCTATAATGTCTAGTCATGTGCATAGTACACACAAATGATTAAATAAAGAAAACAAAAAACTTAATTCCCTTTTTTTGCGCTCTTCTATTTTTTTCTATTTTTAGGTAGTCTGTTCTTTTGATTAGATTTTGTGTTGTTTAATTGTTTGTTTTTTTTGGAGTTCAACAGATTAAGAAAGGCAATTAAAGATTTTTTTTTTTAAATGCTTCCTTTTCTTGATTTTGCTTTATCTGAATACATTTTCTAGACAAAAGCCTAAGTTATTTCACTTAATACTGAAGTAAATAAATTTGTATAAAATATACAAAAGTTTGCTATGAAAACCATGATCTGACTAATTCACTTGCATGTTGTATATTTCTATTACTGGTTAGAAATTGGCGTTATATTCAAATACATTAATTCTTGTATTTATAATTTTTATAAAACAACTAAAAATCATTGTAATATTTATGTGTACCAGGGGCTTTTTCAATCGGTGTGTAAAGTCCTCCTGCAGCTCGGCGTCTTCTTAACTTCCTCATTATATTCACTTCCGGGTTCCGGCTATCGCACGCTTGGAACGCAATGTGCGTTCCAAATCCGACGGCATGCGTTCCACTTCCGTGTGGCGTTGCCTATGTCGGCTGACTTCACTGGAACGCATACCGAATGGATCGTGCGTTCCATTGCGGAATTTCTGTATCATATCATGCAAACACATGTTAATTTCCATAAATACATTCCATAAACATATTTCAATCAATATATCTTCATGCTAGTAAAGGTGTAAACGCTAGGTTGGGATTTTTTCTCTTAAGTAGATTCAATATTTAATTCCCACAGTTCTTTTCCCCATATTTATCTCCTTGAATTCATATTTCTCTCAAAAACATATAATTCTTTTTTATTGAACCTCATTGAGTATTCCTTTTTTTTATTTTTTTTTAAATTCTTTATTTTTCCATCTTGACAGAATCAGCGAACATAACAGTGGCCACATAGCTTGAGCGAACATCAGTTATTGTGCAATATCATAAAGTATAACAATGAGAAAAGGAGAATATTACTTGTCTTCGAACCGTACATATTCTACACAAATAATTACAATTCGGCCGATCGTCAAGGATTTTTGGGGAGATAATGACATTACCAGTATACCAGACGTGTTTACGTTTGCATTAATATCGTTACTTAACCATGAGCTTTCACTATTGTAAGGGTGGGGCGTCCGCCACTTCTTGAGGGTAACGGCATAAGCCTCACGTATTGTATACCAGTTAGTTTCCATGTCACATGTAATGACAACATCCGCCAGTCCTGCCTCCAGGACTGGACTAGCAAAAAAGGGGAGAGATAGAGTGAAAAGAAAGATAAAGAGGGGAATGAGAGTAAGAGGGGGGACCTATTGAGAATTTGTTGAGCTAAGGTGACAAGCACCTGTTGGTGCTATGTGGGGGGGGGAGGGAGGGGGAAAATCATGTGGTCTGAGCTAGTGGGTAGCCATCTCAGCCCTGTCCCAGGTCGCTACTGTCCCAAGGTTCCCATATTTTAAGGAATTTTGGAAGTGAACCTCTTAATCTGGCTGTCAGTTCGTCCATCAAATGGATCTCTCTAATTCTTGCTATGACCTCTGGGGTCTTTGGGGTATCCTGTTGCAGCCACGTGGCCGCCACTGCCTTTCTAGCTGCTAAGGTGAGTTTGTGTATGAGTTTTTGGAGTATTCCTTTTTAAATGCCTAATTTTCTTTTAGAGTTATGAAAGAGAGAAAAAATCACCAGACTGACATATTTTCAAAGAAATAGTATTTAAAGTGCCACAGTGTGCAGAAAGTGCTGATAACTTTTAAAATGACAAAGTGTTAATATTTAAAACTAGATAAAAAAATCTTTGTTTCTAACAGATGGATGTTCATGGTTAAAAAGTAAGTTGAAAACAAAATGGCAAACCTCAAAATCCGAGTTTAACCCATGTGGTAAATGGGTATTAAAATTATAAATAAATTTCATTTCTTCTATTCTGATTTTCTTATTAAAATCCCCTTTATTACACAGCCTTTAATAAACTGACGTGCCTTGAGAAAGGATAACAGAATAATGGCAGTTTTGGCACTTCGCTCCATTAATCCTACAGTTTTCCTGCCACGACTCAGCTTCTCACCAAAGTAGAGGCAGGCCAGATACATAAAATAGATATCGAATTCTCTCAAAGGAACCATCAGAGAGGGCAAAATAATGTATTTACAAGGAAAGCACTTTGCTTTAAATTTGATTTTGTTTTCATTTAAGCAGCAAATGTAAGACCAAGAATAAAAGGAATTGATCAACCACTAGACAAATGTGTGTACTGATCAATATAATTAATTATGTTTATGATCTTAAAATGAACTGAATATTTCAAATTTCAGTAAACCCTTGGAAACTGAGGAAGAGAAAGTCAGAAGAATTGTGAAACGTTGTTTAACCCCTTAAGGACCAAATTTCTGGAATAAAAGGGAATCATGACATGTCACACATGTCATGTGTCCTTAAGGGGTTACAATGGGATCCTACCAATGACAATCCACTGGGTTCCATCGTACTACCTCAAGCAGACTGTGCAGTAATCATTGGTACTTTGATGCCACCTTTAAAGATCATGACAGTTACCTCAATGTATTTAAAAAATTCTCATCCCTTGCGAAGGTGGGAGGTCACCTCATTCTGTTTGCCCTTTTCAATGCAACCTATTATACAATTGGTGATCACAGGTTTTCCATTTTAAACTATAATGAAGAGTTTGTGAAGGAAGCTCTCAGAGACAATGGGTATACCGCTGTGATTTTTGAAGTATATGAAAGCAAAGTAAATGGCGATTTATTGGATCATAAACATACTGGGTTTATTTTAACTCGTAAGGAAAGAGAGAATTAACCAAATTAACTCCAAAATTTATAGTTGTGAAAAAGTCTCTTGAAAGCAAAATTAAAAGTAAAACTATTCATTGTTAAAAAATGTTTAATTTTAAAGATATTTTTAAATATTTCCTTAAAACTATCTTTTCTTTCTTCTTGGTGCAAGTACATTGCTTGTTTATGTCACACTGAGCTTATGATTGTTGGTTTTGATACTTGGTATCCATATATCTTTATCTGCATGTAAAACTAGGTTTTAGAATATTCTGCACTGAATTTTATTAAACAAATATATTCTTACTTTGCCAGGTCCAAATTACTCTAATTATGAATATGGTTATTTTGAATGGCCAGTAGTTATATATGGTATATGTAGTAAATAAACTTGGAAAAAATATAATAAAGTGAGCTGAAAGTCATGAATTAACTAATTCACTTGAATGCTGCGTATTTCCATTACTGGTTAGAAATTGTTGTTATATTCTAATACATTAATACTAATATAATGCTAATGAAAAAAATGTAATCATTTTAATATGTATGTGTACAAAGCCCCATGCTCTGCATTTATGTTTTTAATGAATTGGTATTTGAGCTGTAAAATGTTGAAAAAAATCATAAACCCCTCTCACAGCTCATATATTTGTAGGAGTTAGCCTATGCTTCCCCTTCCCCTTTGGATAGTGAGACTGCACATAGTGATTGATTGAACATTTATTGTAATTTCAGAAAGGGTTAAAGGACCACTCTAGGCACCCAGACCACTTCAGCTTAATGAAGTGGTCTGGGTGCCAGGTCCCTCTAGGATTAACCCTTTTTTTAATAAACATAGCAGTTTCAGAGAAACTGCTATGTTTATAATAGGGTTAATCCAGCCTCCAGTGGCTGTCTCATTGACAGCCTCAAGAGGTGCTTGAGTGCTTCTCACTGTGATTTTCACAGTGAGAAGATGCCAGCGTCCATAGGAAAGCATTCTGAATGCTTTCCTATGGACTGGCTGAATGCGCGCGGCTCTTGCCGCACATGCGCATTCAGCCGAAGAGGAGGAGAGGAGGAGGAGAGCTCCCCGCTCAGCGCTGGAGAAAGAGGTAAGTTTAACCCCTTCCTCACCCCAGAGCCCAGGGAGGAGGATCCTGAGGGTGGGGACACCCTCAGGGCACTATAGTGCCAGGAAAACAAGTATGTTTTCCTGGCACTATAGGGGTCCTTTAAGGTTTATGGGAGACCATCATGAGTCAAAATAGTATATTATATAGCATGTATTTTAAATCAATATTGTAGTGAATAAAAAAATAGAAGTACCCGAGGCTTGTCATCCCTTAAAAATATATAATGTTCCACTATTTGATCCCTCACACAGCAATGGCCATAGTATTTATCAGTCCAAATATACTATGGACTTTGTTGCCATCCAGAGTAGTGGGAGTTTGAGTGCAAAGATTATTTCTTAGCTTGTCCCACCTAGAGGTTTATTTTGAAGCAGCGTAGGTATTTCTGTGTTGTTTTTTAAAATTTGTTTTTGAATTATGCAGCCATACTGCCAAGCAGTCACCTACCCTTCCCTATCTTTTTTTTGTGCATAAGAGAAAAGCAGTTACAGGCGTATTTGGAATGCCCCGCCAGCAGAGACAAATAATATAAGGGCAATCCGTGAGATATCAGGGCATGACATGTAAATACAATGCACAGTTTTTATGTTAGTAGGAAGAATGGTTTCGACATGCTAGTGAACTGAAGTAGCTGACATGCTACTAAGAGTAAACTTGAACAATATGAGCATGCTTACAAGTTGCTAGGAGGAAAAATAAAAACAATGGGATTCCACTATTCATTTATCTAGAATGCTGACGGATATCACTTGGGGGTCGCAGGTTATCAATATTGCAAAGTAAAGCAGCGTAACATATATGAGCACCTAGCTCCACATGCTGTTCACTCAGCCCACTCAAACCTCTGGCTTCCCTTGGTGTGTGTGAAGCTGAGTCCCCGCTCCCTCTACTGTACCCCACCAGCCCCAGGTTGGGATATTGAGGTCACAGTAATATAGGTGGCACAGAACCAGCACCAGATGTTGGCGCTCATCGTGTGGCTTCTTACGGGTACGCTGTGTGAGGGGAGGAGCGGACCTGTCTCTGCTTCAATCTCCACTACTCCATCTTCGGCGCTGCACCAAGGCTTCTCCCAGTGAGTTTCGACTTGGCTGTAGTGTGTGGTAGATTAGGCTGGGGCGAAGCTGCTGCGTTAGATTTCAGCATTCTTCGCTGTGTCTTACTGCAGAGTTGCACCCAGAAGAGCTTGAAAGCCTGGCTGAGGTGTTCCTCCAGCGAGGGCCGGAGTGGTACAGGCAGTTCTTCAGTGGCCAATGAGCTGCTTGCATTGCGTTGTTCAGCGGTATATACCAGATCTGGGAGAGGTGAGTGTAGAATCACCCCAGTGGTGACTGGAATAACCCCCACCGGTCCTTAGGGATAGGAGCATGCTTGGATCTTGTAGTCCATCCAACAGTGAGGAGAGTGGCCGCCTCTCCCACCTCAGCCTCCAACAGGCTGCAGCTTGTCTCTTCTTGGAGTTATCAGCCATCGGCAGCTTAAGGCAGAGATTAGTGCTCACGGGCCCTCAAGGGTAAACTGCTTGAGAATGTGAAATCGCTTATTTTCCTGCTACAATTGGAAAAACAGAAAGAGTAAAAGATATAATAAATACAGTGAGAACAGTGCAAGTGCAATCTAACACCTGAGTGGGAAACCCCTTATACCAATCTCAAATAAACATAAAGCAATACATACAGTAGGTGGATCACACTTCTTACAATATCTAGACAAAAAATAAATAAACAGCAATATAGTGTAATATTGTCGGCAACTTGGTGGCCAAAATGTAAGTAAAAATGGTCAGGTACTCACAAACCGAGAGCCAAACACAGACATGTGGCTCTCATGGAAACAGCACTGGGACTATTAGTAGGATGTCCCTCTCCTTCTGAGAATCTTCTGTTCACCCAAAGAAATGGAGCTGAGAACACTTACTAAAAAGTAAAGTGTTTATTTTCCAAAATTGGCAGCAAAAGATAAAAGTAAGGAGAATATCTCCAATAAAACATATATACTTGAATAAAATAAAAGAGTCCAAATAAAAGTCTCTACCAAAACGCGTTTCGCCCCGTGCCAGGGGCTTCCTCAGTCGGTAATGCTTCCTTTCTGCTTTCCTGTTCTTTTATGTGTGTTTCGCCGGTATTTGGAACGCAAAAGTTCGCGGTGGAACGCACTTCCGGTTTCGTCATTTCCGGATATCGGCGTCATCTCCTTCAGCCTGGTTCCCGGCATGCAGAGGTCTTGTTGGCATAGAAACGAGCCGGTTGGAACGCACACTGTATGACGTGTGCGTTCCATCCCGGAAACATCAATGATAAAAATAACATAAATTCACAACAAAAACATAATAGCTGATCGAGAAGATCTTCTCTTACCCCAAACCATTTATAAAGTGACAGAGTGTTATATAGAGGTGCTTATATATTGTGAAGCCTCCATTGGAATCAGTATCATAATTTTTAAAGTGCTAGTATATATTAACTTTTATTTAGATATTGGTGAGTGGGGTGTTTCTGTTTAAAGTGCCAGTGTTTATATACATATTTTAGTGCCAGATTGATTACTATTATACAAAATTCAGTATTGATACTTCTATATAAACATATATTAATAATTCTTTGTGCATAAATAAGGTTATTATTTTTTTTTTTTTTATATATTATTTACCTCTCTCTCTCTGATGATTTGTGTGGTATATAAATATTAAATCGCATTTTGAATTTTTTTAGAAGAAGTGACATGTTTCGAAATCGGAATTCAAGCCATGTGGGATAAGGGTATTGAAATTAAAAATGAATTTCATCTCCTCTAATCCCACTTTTTTATTATAATCTCCTCCTCTCCAATCATGTGTAACTGTTTTTAGAGGGCAAAAGAATAATTGGTCAGGGTTTTGATTGTGGTGGGTTTTAAAATGGTTAGAGACACTGTGGGTTTCCAAACCTTTTCTGATGTTCCGTATGTGTTCGGAGATTCTTACATGAAGACATCTAATAGTTCTGCCGACATATAGTAAATTGCAAGGGCATTTTAGGATATAGATTACACCTTTAGAAAAACAGGTTAATTTATCTCTAATCACGAAATGTCACTTCTTCTAAAAAAATTCAAAATGCGATTTAATATTTATATACCACACAAATCATCAGAGAGAGAGAGGTAAATAATATAAAAAATAAAATAAAAAAATAATAACCTTATTTATGCACAAAGAATTATTAATATATGTTTATATAGAAGTATCAATACTGAATTTTGTATAATAGTAATCAATCTGGCACTAAAATATGTATATAAACACTGGCACTTTAAACAGAAACACCCCACTCACCAATATCTAAATAAAAGTTAATATATACTAGCACTTTAAAAATTATGATACTGATTCCAATGGAGGCTTCACAATATATAAGCACCTCTATATAACACTCTGTCACTTTATAAATGGTTTGGGGTAAGAGAAGATCTTCTCGATCAGCTATTATGTTTTTGTTGTGAATTTATGTTATTTTTATCATTGATGTTTCCGGGATGGAACGCACACGTCATACAGTGTGCGTTCCAACCGGCTCGTTTCTATGCCAACAAGACCTCTGCATGCCGGGAACCAGGCTGAAGGAGATGACGCCGATATCCGGAAATGACGAAACCGGAAGTGCGTTCCACCGCGAACTTTTGCGTTCCAAATACCGGCGAAACACACATAAAAGAACAGGAAAGCAGAAAGGAAGCATTACCGACTGAGGAAGCCCCTGGCACGGGGCGAAACGCGTTTTGGTAGAGACTTTTATTTGGACTCTTTTATTTTATTCAAGTATATATGTTTTATTGGAGATATTCTCCTTACTTTTATCTTTTGCTGCCAATATTGGAAAATAAACACTTTACTTTTTAGTAAGTGTTCTCAGCTCCATTTCTTTGGGTGAACAGAAGATTCTCAGAAGGAGAGGGACATCCTACTAATAGTCCCAGTGCTGTTTCCATGAGAGCCACATGTCTGTGTTTGGCTCTCGGTTTGTGAGTACCTGACCATTTTTACTTACATTTTGGCCACCAAGTTGCCGACAATATTACACTATATTGCTGTTTATTTATTTTTTGTCTAGATATTGTAAGAAGTGTGATCCACCTACTGTATGTATTGCTTTATGTTTAATTGGAAAAACAGGTTTGTGGGCCCGGAGCTCAGGCAGTGCGCTTCCAGCTAGTTCGGTGGTCAGGTTCCGCCTGTCACCTACACTATGTGTGCCCTGTTAAGGGTTAATTATTTTGTAGTGGCTCATAAAATTCCCCCTTTCTGTTTCATTAGAGATTGTTTGTTTGCATTTTAGGGGAAACCAAAATTGCTGAAAACACATTATTACTTTTCTTAGATAAGAATATTTTATAAAATCAATTGCTGAATTTGCTTTTCACACGCACAGAAATAAATATAAACTAGAAATTAAAATAATGTATTCAACAGTAGATACATGGAGCAATTACATTTATCTCTTTGTGGCATTTTATATATACTTTTAGTTGTTCTTTAAAATGTTCACACTTTATTATTCATCTAGCATGAAAACATATCTCGTAATAAGCTTCGTAATAAAATATGAGTGAATAAATCTATACATAAAATTAAAATATTATACATATGTAGAAATTCTTCAAATGTAAAAAGAGTGGAAGGAGGTAGCGAAAAAATATGTTGCAAGTCAGGATGGATGCTGTCCAGGAGGTGGGAGGGTCTGGGACGGTGGGTCTGCTGCTGATTGGCTGGAATGTGTCTGCTGACTGTGAGGTACAGGGTCAAAGTTTACTCAATGATGAGTCCATGGCGAACCGTTCGTGGCGAACCATTCGTGGCAAACCGTTCGTGGCAAACCGTTCGCGAACTGTTCGGCGAACAGTTCGGGGCATCACTACTGGAGAACTATGACGAAAAGGAGTTTGTGTCCAAAATAGTGTTTCAGCTCGTTTCAAAAAGTCTTACAACAAAAACCCCAATGGGCTAATCTTTTTAGCTATGAAAACAGTCAAAAACCGTGGAGAGGTGGTAATCATATTAATTACATAATGAAAGAAGAGGTGAAATGCGTTTATCTATTATACACTTCAGAACCTTATGATCTAAATATTGAATTTAATTTGTTTATAATTTGTCTTTTATTGTCTTTTTAAACTGTTTTAAATTTAAATTGCATTATACTTTTTTAATTTTTCTTCTTCAACTAGGTTTTTTAAAATTATTTTTTAAGGTATTTATTAACATATATATTTTTATATTGCATACATTGACTCTTCTCTGTTTTTATATACTATTATGGAAGGTTTTATAAAACGTTTTCCTGCTCCTTCACCCTTTTTAAATGCATTTCATTTGTAGAGGTTTTGCCCTTCCTGGCTGAGTCTTATGGTGTGACTATGCCTGCTATCTCTCTAGACTCAGTTGGTAGAAGCTAATAGGGCACTGGTTTCAAAAGGTTTCCTAACTCTATGTATTAACAAAAATAGTAAGAAGTTATCAAATATGCTTTGAGATGGGTTTTCTTCACTTTATCATGGTTTTCTGTGTATAACTTATTTTAAAATATTTTTTTTTAAATAAAATGTGCTGCATTACATTCTATATTAAGTTATCTTCCTAATATAAAATACTTGTATGGTATTATGCTAAAAAAGCCTCATGAACCTCAGAAATATAAATTTTTCAAAAGATTTTCACAATTTTGACCACTAGTGTATTTTAATCTAATTCTAACAACTCTGAATTGGCACTGCAAAAATGCCTGATATTGTCAGCCAGTAGAAAAACTAAAATTATGGGGATTTTTGCCAAGCGGCACACAAATAGATACATTTTTTCCACCCTTTTCCCAATTATTTTGCATGACTAATATTCAAATTAGCTGAACTACCACATGGACAACTATCAGATGACTCAAACGATATATATATATTGTAACGGATCACCTGGTACCCCGACTGGGTACCTCCATTGATGGATGCTCCTAGTGCTTCCCAAGGGCTCCAAGCACTCCACTTGACACCATAAGCACTGCAGACCACACAAACTCCCGCAGCTTGGTTGGGGTCTCGCCGTCTCCTACCCACCCTGGACCTACGACAAGGCTCCAGGTCCCAGTGGGTGAACTTCTCATTTCCCAGAGAGTGAAGCAGGAACAGGAACAAGCTCTTACAAGAGCTTAGTGATTATTCAAGGGAGTAGGAAGAGCATAGCAATCCCTTGTAGCAGATTCCTACAATAAGAGACAGGACTCTAGATTGAGGGTGAAGTAGAACTGGTTTAATGAGCACAAAGGCATTTCCTATATACGTAGCAAATAGCAAAATAAATGCAACCTGTTAATCAATGGGATAGGACAAAGTGGGGAAAAGAGCTGATACCAGAAAGTCTGGAGGGTAGAGAGTAATTAACAGGCTCAGCTCCTAGCCGAGGCATACAGCTGATTGGCCCGCTGGGATATTTATACCCTCTCCACAAAGAGGTAAGGTTATCCCCTGATGAAGGTGCACTGAAACACGCGTCGGGTTTTGTTCTTTCTCACATTTTCTTTTTATTTGCACTAATGGAGGCACAGGGTGTTTAGCACCATTTTGTTTTTTTGTTTAGACATTTTTGTTTGGGGAGATGTCTAGAGGGTAAATTGCTCTGTATGATGACAGCTAGGGACAGCGTTAGAACACCCATGAAGGTGGTTGTTTAGGAGCATTATGGATATTATCTAGGAATGCAGACTGGCTGACCACATATCAGCTTGATTGAATTCAAGTTCCTGCTCTTTTTCTGCCTTTCAGCTGTCCTGTAATCTGTCTCTTATTTTTAGCCCTAGTACAGCTATACGATATGTCTAGGAACTGAGCCTGTTAATTACTCTCTACCCTCCAGACTTTCTGGTATCAGCTCTTTTCACCACTTAGGCTATACTCCCATTGGAGCTTCTGAGCCAGCCTACGTGACTAGGTATAGCCCTTGTAGTATTTGTAATTATATTTCTTATACACAGTTTTCCCCACAAGGTTACCACCCACATGGACCTTGTGGAACACAGGACACAAAGTCACAACAGCCAATCAACACAGTATTGTACAGTTAGACACTCCCAACTAATGTACACACACCCTCCCCTCTGCCTGTGATACAATTACCAAACACAATGGACTAACTCAATTACCACAGGCAGAAAATATCCAGTTTTACCCAAAGTCCAGAAACACCCCAAAACTACAACATACCCCCCTACATCCCTGGATAGCCCTGATCTGGATGAACAACATTTCCAAAAATAACCCAGATCAGAGCAGGGGTTCAAAAGTTTTATGGAAGTCACATTTGACCAACCGCAAGCATGGCTTTCATGCCCAAAATAGTTCCACAGATTTAGGGTGTGCGGCCAGTCTATCCTTTCCTCTATCCTGGAGATAATTGGCAGAAATGGCTGTGGTAAGACAATTATCTCCAGGTACAGGAAATATCTCCAAGTCCAAAACCTGTTACAAAAACCACATAAATATACATAACTCATATAATACAATGTTGAACCTATATGTCCAACATATCCCCAGATAGCTTGCATCTAAGCGCTCAATATGTCCAAACAACGCACAGATCTCACAAATAAAGTTGGATCGCCATGTGGTTGTCTCTTTTGACCGACCACAAGCATGGCTTTCATGCCCAAGATAGTTCCACAGATTTTGGCTGTGCGGCCGGGCTATTTTCAATGTTAAAAGTGCACTATAGTAGGGTGAGGTCAGAAAATAGCAAGGGCTGATGGGAGGAGGGACAAAGCAGCCAGTTTAAACTGGTCTGGCAGTGTCCCTGGGACAACGCCCTGCTGGAGAAACAATAGGACAGGAAAAAGGGGGAGGGGAAGAGGCACATTTTCCCATGGATTTAAAGGGGCAGAAAAAGTGTTTTAAAATCCAATAAGCCCAAACAGACTTTTTAAATGGCAATACACCCCAAGGGCCATAGTCGAACAGAGGGCTGTTTACAGATATGTTGTATATTATCAGGTCTCCTGATCTAAAGACTGCTTAATAATCAAAAGTCATTGTTGTTTTATCTTTTTTTTTTTTTTAGATATATAGTAGTATCCCTATATTAATTTCTGTTATATATTTGGTCTGTTTAACCCCTTAAGGACCAAACTTCTGGAATAAAAGGGAATCCTGACTTGTCACACATGTCATGTGTCCTTAAGGGGTTAAATGTCTCCTGGGAATTCTCCCACCAATAACCATTCACCAAGATAAATTATAAGCTAAGTGTTAATATTTTATAAGTCTCTTGCCTAAAGCCTGTTGTGTGGGGCCAGCTCATTGGCTGAAAACCTCAGCTGTTTGCTCTTACCCAATAAACTAAGACCTATATTACTGGGCTCATCTCAGTGAAGAGAGCTTGTGGCTAGAGAGGAGGCTGTGATTGGTGCAGTGTGGACCTCAGGTAAGAAGCAGAGCCATTAACAAATTATCTGACTACTTACATTGGGGAGTGGAATGCTAGTATGTAATGGTTATGATGTTTGGAGTGTTCCTTTAAAAAACATATTGCTTTTAAAATCAATATTATAGGAGCTTGATATGCAGAGCTGAATATCACAGAAAAAAAATGAGAATCAAGAGGAAAGATGGGGAAATCATTTATCTCGTTTCAGCTTCTATCAGAATGCCCAGTAAATAATGTAGTCACACTATTCTGAAATGTAAATGTTTAACAGCGTTTGGTGATCATGTAGCTCACACTGCATACATTTTAAAATAGCTACAGTACCAGTTTAGTGAATAACTCGTCATTTCTATTTTTCTTGAAGATTTTATCTGTAATATAGTGCTGCATCCACTGCCCCTTAGATAGATTAGCAATCTGACAATAGTGGAAAATGAAGTTGTGATACAGTTATTAGATTGTGATAGAAAAAAATATTAAAATATTAGATTACAAGGAACAAGACTATAGCATATATTATCATCATCATCTTCATCATCATCAAAACAGAGCGTGTTACAGCACAGTGACACTGTAAAGCTAAAATTGCCAAAATAATTTTTCCCCAATTGGCTGACCTCAGCCTAGCATTTAGTGAATAAACTGCTAAAGTCCATTAAGAAAAATACCTTCTAGGAGAATGTAGAAAGCTACATGTTAACTAGAAACATAATGAAGGAAAATACCAGATATTTTAGAGATGTTTTCTGCATCAACAGATATAAACTCTTATATACTTTGCTAGGAAATTGATACCTGAAAATAAAGCCTCGAGATGGAGGGAATGAAACATAAACATTATCACGATGAAGAGTTTGATAATCATTTGGTTATAGAAACATATGTTGGTCGGGATAAGACGGATTTCAGAGAAGAATTTTTAGACCCTGCATTGCAAAAAATATTTCAGTGTTTGTGTTCAGGTACGTTCATTGTCAACATATAAATTCTGTCCTCAGTGCCACCAGTATTAAAGTATCATAACTCTCACAGTTATTTGTAAAGACCCGAGGTGACCTGTCTGTTTGAATTTTGTCACCAAATAAAAGTGAGAACGGAGATATATGAATCTAAACCTCTGCCTTATTGTGCCATGAATTTCTAGGACTTGAAACATTAAGAACTGCATCCTTTTTGTGCTTATGAAAACATGAAAGTGGGAAAGATAATATATCTAGTTTAGAGGACAGATGGGAGATCAAGCTGCAATGCATTGTGTGGTCCAGATGCCAGGATTTAGTCAGGCAACTCTACAAACTGTATACGGCCTCTGCTTCTATGCACTTAAATTATTTTCCATCCCAATGGCATTTTGAAAAGTAGTATGTAAAAAAAAATGTGGTTTTATTCTGAGTGAAGCCAATTATCCCAGATTCAAAAATATATGTAACAAAAAGAAAATAATTGCAGTGAAGGTGATATTTTTACTAATTTGTTTCCCCCCAGGTATTGTGAAAGGAGAGACTCTGATAGACCTCACTGTTAGTGCTGCCTTTGGTCATTTGATGGTTATGTCCGATTTCTTTAAGGAAGTCACCATTTTAGACTCATCAGATCAAACGCTTAATGAAATGGAAAAATGGCTGAATAAGGATCCAGGAGCTGTAGACTGGTCTCATGCTGCTGAAATTTCATGTGCACTTAAGGGTGTGAGGTGAGTCTGTAGAGTTAGAGAGATTTTTATATATCATACCTGGATAGCAAACGGCGAGATCCCAACCCAGCAGCGCCAGTTTGTGGGGTCCGCAGTACTTATGGTGTCTACGGTGCTGATGATCCTTTGGTGAGCGCTGAGAGCATCCTTTCCATTGTCCAACTTTCAGCTAGCCTGGAGGCAAGCGTAACAAACATATCCAAAAATCACCCAGATCCGTTCAAGGGTTAAGGAATTTCCTGGAAGTCTTATTTTTGCCCCACCGTGCACATGGTCCCATGCCCAAAACAGTTCCATACACTCAATGACAAAACACTGCTGGACAATTTAAGATGGCTGCCGCCACATGTTCTCTGAAACTGCTATGTTTACATCAAAAAGGGTTAAACCTAGCAGGACCTGGCACCCAGACCCCTTCATTAAGATGAAGTGGTCTGGGTGCCTATAGTGGTCCTTTAACTTTGCAAAACAAAAAGGGACTGACCCCACCAGCTGAACGCATGGAACTATTTTGGGCAATTGCCTCATATGCGGCTGGGCAGAAATGGGACTTCCATCTATCTCCCTAACCCCTGAACCGATTTGCATGATTTTTTAATATGTTGGTCCCCTAATTATCAGAAATTATCAGAAAATATAAGTTTTTTTATGGGAATTAGATGTATGGTTTTAAATGTTTCTAAAAATGTGTAAAAAGTTCATACAGTAATTAACTCAATTATCTCCCAAGCAGAGGGGAGGAATTTACTGTAATGAATGGGAGTATTTAACTTTGTGACTGTAAACCATTAGCTATTAAATGTGAACCTTCAATACGTAGCCTCATCTCGTGTTTGTAGGGAAACTGCATCCAGCCAATCACTAGCTCTTGTAAGAGCTCTGCTATTCTCTCTCTCTACTGGTTCGGCTAATGGGACATCTGGAGCATACTGCAGCACAGCCTCTCGCAAGGGAAAAGGATGTCTCCAATACACAGGGTGGCCATTACAGATAGATAGAGAGGGATGGATAGAGAGGGATGGATAGGTTAAAAGGGATGGGCGTATGGATAGAGAGGGATGGATGGATAGTGAGGAATGGATGGTGTTACGGTTGCCCCAGGCTAGCTGAGGGTTGGACCATAGAAAGGATGCTCCTAGTGCTCACCAAGGACCATCAGCACCGCACCAGACACCATAACCGCCGCATACCCCACGAACCGCCGCAGCTTGGTTCGGGTCTCGCCATTTCCTACCCACCCTGGACCTACGACAAGGCTCCAGGTTCCAATGGGTAAACCTCTCTTTCCCCAGAGAGTGAAGCAGGAACAAACTCTTACAAGAGCTTAGTGAAGCTAACGAGTATGAAGAGCATAGCAATCCCTGTAGTGATTATAGCTGTCTCCTCCAAACACGAGTCGAGGCTGTGAGTTGAGGGTCAAGTAGAACTGGTTTAATGAGCACAAAGGCATTTCTTTTATACACATTTTCAGGCCAGAGGCACACCCCCTGGACCTGTTGGAACACAGGAACAAAATGAGCATAAACCAATCAAAACAAAACCCTCCACTCTATCCTGGAGATAATTGGCTTAAGTGGCTGTGGTAACTTAATTATTTCCAGGTATAGGTAATATCTCTAAATCAAAAACTGTTACAAAAACCACATAAAAATACATAACTCATATAATACAATCTTTAACCTATGTGTCCAACCTATCCCCAGACATCTTGGATCCTAGCACTCAATATGTCCGAAAAGCGCTCAGATCTCACGAATACAGTTGGATCGCCATGGGGTTAAAGTTGTCTCCATGGCCATTCGGATGGATGGATAGAGAGGGATAGATGGGTGGATGGATGGATAGAGAGGGATGGATGGATAGATGGATTGAATAGAGAGGGATGTATGAATGGATGGATGGATGATGGATAGGAAGGGATGGATGGATAGAGATGGATGGATAGAGAGGGATAGATGGGTGGATGGCTGGATAGAGAGGGATGTATGGATAGAGAGGGATAGATGGATGGATGGATAGAGAGGGATAGATGGATGGATGGATAGATAGGGATGGATGGATAGATGGATGGAATAGAGAGGGATGTATGAATGGATGGATGATGGATAGGAAGGGATGGATGGATAGAGATGGATGGATAGAGAGGGATGGATGATAGAAATGGATACAGAGGGATGGATAGATGTATGGATAGACAGGAATGGATAGATAGAGAGGGATGGATGGATAGGGAGGGATGGATGGATGGATAGAGATGGATAGATGGATTAATAGAGAGGGATGGATGATAGAAACTGATGGATGGATAGAGAGTGATGGATGGATAGAGAGGGATGAATGGATAGAGAGGGATGGATAGGGATGGATAGAGATGGATGGATGAATAGGTAGAGAGGAATGGATGGATAGAGAGGGATGGATAGATGTATGGATAGACAGGGATGGATGGATAGACAGGATGGATGGATAGAGAGGGATGGATGGATAGGGAGGGATGGATGGATAGAGATGGATAGATGGATGGATAGAGAGGGATGGATGATAGAAACTGATGGATGGATAGACAGTGATGGATGGATAGAGAGGGATGAATGGATAAAGAGGGATGGATAGGGATGGATAGAGATGGATGGATGAATAGGTAGAGAGGAATGGATGGATGGAGAGTGATGGAGGGATAGATGGATAGTGAGGGATGGATGGATCCATCCATCCATCCATCCATATTCACTCTCTCACTCACCATTCTCAATCTCCCTCACGCACACTCAATCTCACTTACTCACACTCAATCTCTCACTCACCAACACCCACACTCACTCATTCACACTCATTCAGTCACCCACACTAACTTACACTCACCCACCCACACGCACTCAGTAACCCACACTCACTTACTCACCCACACTCACTCTTACTCACTTACTCACCCACACTCACTCACTATCACTCACTCTCAATCTCTCACTCACACTCATTCTCAATCTCACTCACACTCAATCTCTCACTCACAATCACTCTCTCACACTCACTCTCAATTTCTCACTCACTCTCAACCTCTCACTTGCTCTCAATCTTTCACTCCCTCACTCACACTCACTAACTCACCCACAGTCACACACCCACACACACTCACTCTTACTCACTCACCCACACTCACTCACTATCACTCACTCTCAATCTCACTCTATCACACTCACTCTCAATCTCACTCATCTCTCACTCACTCACTCTCAATCTCACTCACTCTCAATCTCACTAACACTCAATCACTCACTCACAATAATTCTCACACTCACTCTCAATTTCACTCAATCTCAATCTCTCACTCACTCTCAACCTCTCACTTGGTCTCAATCTCTCACTCCCTCACTCATACTCACTCAATCATCCACACTCACTCACACTTACACACCCACACTCTCTCACTCAGTCACTCACACTCGTTCAGTTACTCACCTACACTCACTCATCTACCCACACTCACTCTCACTCTCACTCACTCACCCACACCCACTATCACTCACTCACCCACACTCACTCACTCAGGCACCCACACTCACTCACCCACCCACACTAACACACTCACCCACACTCACTCACACTCACCCACACTCATTTAGTCACTCACTCGCACACTCACACTCACTCACCCACACTCACTCTTACTCACTCACCCATCCACACTCACTCACTCTCTCTCACTCACTCTCAATCTCACTCATTCACACTCAATCTCTTTCGCTCACTCACTCACACTCAATCTCTCACACGCAATCACTCTCTCACACTCACTCTCAATTTCTCACTCACTCTCAACCTCTCACTTGCTCTCAATCTCTCACTCCCTCACTCATACTCACTCAATCATCCACACTCACTCACTCACCCATACTTACACACCCACACTCTCTCACTCAGTCACTTCCACTTGCTCAGTTACTCACCTACACTCACTCACCCACCCACACTCACTCTCACTCACCCACACCCACTATCACTCACTCACTCGACCACCCGCCCACCCACACTCACTCACCCACACTCACTCACTCAAGCACCCACACTCACTCACACTCACTCACTCACTGACTCACACTCACTCAAGCACCCACACTCACTCACACTCACTCACTCACTGACTCACACTCACTCACTCATCCACACTCATTCAGTCCACCCACACTAACACACTCACCCACACTCACTCACACTTACCCACACTCATTTAGTCACTCACTCGCACACTCACACTCACTCACCCACACTCACTCTTACTCACTCACCCACCCACACTCACTCTTACTCACTAACTCACCCACACTCACTCACTCACTCTCAATCTCACTCATTCACACTCAATCTCTTTCGCTCACTCACTCACACTCAATCTCTCACTCTCCCACACTCAATCTCACTCACACTCAATCTCTCACTCACAATCACTCTCTCACACTCACTCTCAATTTCTCACTCACTCTCAACCTCTCACTTGCTCTCAATCTCTCACTCCCTCACTCACACTCACTCAATCATCCACACTCCCTCACCCACACTTACTCACTTACTCACCCACACTTACCCACACTCACTCACCCATACTCACAATCACTCACTCTTTCTCACTCACTAACTCACTCAATTTCACTCTATCACACTCACTCTCAATCTCACTAATTCACACTCAGTCTCACTCATTCACACTCAATTTCAAACACAATCACACTCACTCTCAATTTCACTCACTCTAAATCTCTCACTCACTCTCAAACTCTCACTTGCTCTCAATCTCACTCCCTCACTCACACTCAATCATCCACACTCACTCACCCACACTTACTCACTCACCTACACTCACCCACCCACACTTACTCACACTTGCTCACACTCACTCAGTCACCCACACTCACCCACATTCACTAACCCACACCCACACTCACTCAGCGACACTCATTCAGTCACCCACACCCACACACTCACCCACCTGCACTCAGTCACCCACACTCAGTCACCCACACTCACTCTTACTCACTTACTCACCCACACTTACTTACTCACCTACACTCACTGACTACTTACTCTGGGAGGGGGTCCCGGCACTCCTGGCACCATAACCACTACACAGACCTGTAGTGGTTATTGTGTGTGGATTATTTCTTTAAATAAACTACAAGTGCCCCTCCCGAGATCAGGCTCTGGACCCGCCACTGATACCAAACCAGAATAAACATACCTAATTTGTAATTTTTTTCATTCGGGGTATATCTAAAATCAGCTTGCAAAAGCTGCAGATCTCTTGTTGGCAGCATTTGCAAGCCCTTCTCTTTTTTACAGAATTTGCAATGCAGCTCAGTGAGAAGTCTTTGCAAGGCAGGTGCTCTGGGCAATTGCTGCCTCTTGAGTTTATCTCCTCTGAGTTAAACAAACTAGGAAGTAAGAGGACCGACTGTCTGATTAACACCAGGAGGTTTTAACAGAGATAATTTTTAAATTTCTATTGAAATCTGTACGTTTTTTTTAAATGAAAGAAAAGAGGGCAGACTTTGCGTAAAAGGGACACTGCAGACCCCTAAAGTACTTTTGCTTGCTGAAATGCTTTATGTGTGAAGAGCCATTTTTTTCATTTAGGCAACAAGAACAAATTATAAAAGGAATTGATCTAGATGAATGTGCATACTGATCAGTTTTATTAGTTATTTTTATGATATTAGAATAAATTGAATATTTAAAATTTCAGTAAAATAGTGGAAGCTGAGGAAGAGAAAGTCAGGAGAATTGTGAAACGTTGTTTAAAATGGGATCCCACCAATGACAATCCACTGGGATCCGTCATCCTGCCTCAAGCAGACTGTGCCATCAGCATCTGGTACTTTGACGTCGCCTGTAAAGATCATGAGAGTTATCGCAACAGCTTTAGAAAATTCTCATCCCTTGTGAAGGTGGGAGGTCACCTCATTCTGTTTGCCTTTTTCAATGCGACCTATTATACAATTGATGATCACAGGTTTTCATTCCTAAACTATAATGAAGATTTTGTGAAGGAAGTTCTCCAAGACAATGGGTATACCACTGTGATTTTTGAAGTATATGAAAGCAAATTAAACACTCACTTAATGGATCATGATCGTATTGGGTACATTGTAGCTCGTAAGGAAAGAGAGAATTAACCACTGGTGAAAATGTTTTTTGAAAGCAAAATTAGAAGAAAAACTATTCTGCGTTTAAATATTTTTGTGCATCGTTTGTTAAAATATGTTTAATTTTGAAGATAATTAAATATTTGTTAACATTTATTTGAGCTTCCTTTTGTTTACTCTTAGTGCATGTTTGTTTATACCACACTGTCCTTATGATCGGTTTTGATACTCAGTATCCGTATATCTTTATCTGCATAATTATGACATTTATAAAGCACCAACAAATTCTGCAGCACGGAACAATTGGGAAAAAGACAATACAGTATAGAAAGACCAATACAAAAGGTAGAGGGCCCTGTACGTGAGCTTACAATCTAAAGTTATATACAACTTTTTAAAAATATTTTACACATTTTTTACCAATTCTGAAATGAATTTTATAATTCAAATATGTTCTTTCTTTGATAGGTTCAAATTACTCTAATTATGAATATTATTTTTCTGGAATTTTATCAGATTAAGAAAGGAATGTATTTTTAGTTTTGTTTGTTTTGTTTATGTAACAAATTCCTGAAAATACAATAAAATAGCTTCACTGTCTTGATTTTGCTGAATTAATAAACTTGGTAACATATAATAAAGTGAGCTGTGAAAACCCAGAACTGACTGATTCACTTGCATGTTGTGTATTTCTATTATTGGTTGGAAATTGTTGATATATTGGGGGGCGGGGCCTGGCAGCCAAGATGGCCGGGCGTGTTCTGCACTAGCTCCTGCACAACTGAGCAACAAATAAGCTTTTTAAATTGAATACCACGTCAGATTCAGCCTTAATCGACTGGTACGAGGTCTGGCAGCGAATGGGAAATCGTGGATAATCATGATGACACCGGACAGTGAGTGCACCCATCGCCTGGTACTGAGGCCTAGCGTGAATTGTAGCCATGCGCCTGGGAGAGACAGCTGCTCTCCAGGCACGATGCAAGCCCCAGACAAAGTCGGCATTGGAGCTTACCGACCCCCCCGTTTGGACCGGTGGGGGTTATTCCGGTCCACACTGGGGATACCTACCTCTCCACTACAAGGGAACCCTCCCATTAACCAGTCGACAGCATGGCGAACCCAAAATGGCCACCGTGGTGCACAAGGCCAGCCTTAGGGGTGGACAAGCTGTGCGGCCACACAGGGCGCCATGGAGAAGGGGGCACCATGTGGCTGACACAGCTCACACATGGCTGGCCGGGATTTAAATAAATAAATACGTTTGTTGCGGGGCTTCCCGTGCGGTGGGGGCGGAGCTAAAAGTGCTGGATAGCTGGTGCAGGGAAAGCAGGAAGGAGTCCCTGCTTCCCCAACAAACAGTCTCCAGGAGCTGCACTGCCTGTCTGTCTCAACTCCTCCATAAGGAACAGAGGTAACTGTGTGTGATTGTCAGTGTGAGTGTGACTGTTTGTGTGTGCATGACTGTCTTCCTGTGTGTCTGTGTGTGTGACTGTCTGCCTATGTGTCTGTGTGTGTGTGTGTGTATGACTGTCTGCCTGTGTGTCTGTGTGTGTGTGCGACTGTCTGTCTATGTGTCTGTGTCTGTGTGTGTATGACTGTCTACCTGTGTGTGTGACTGGCATCCTATGTGTCTGTGTCTGTGTGTATGACTGTCTGCCTATGTGTCTGTGTCTGTGTGTGTATGACTGTCTGTGTGTGTTTGTGTGTGTGACTATCTGCCTGTGTGTGTGTATGACTGTCTGTCTGTATGTGTGTGTGTGACTGTCTGCCTGTGTGTGTGTGTGTGTGTCTGTGTGTATGACTCTCTACCTATGTGTATGTGTCTGTGTGTGTATGACTGTGTGTGTGTCTGTGTGTGTGACTGTCTGCCTCTGTGTGTGTGATTGTCTGCCTGTGTGTGTGTGTGACTGTCTGCCTGTGTGTGTATGACTGTCTACCTATGTGTCCGTGTCTGTGTGTATGACTGTCTGCCTGTATGTGTGTGTGTGTGTGTGTGTCTGTGTGAATGCCTGCCTGTGTGTGTGTGTGTGTGTGTGTATGTATGGCTGTCTGCCTGTGTGTGTGTGTGTGTGTGACCTGTCTGCCTGTGTGTGTGTCTGTGTGTGACTGCCTGTGTGTGTAACTGTCTGCCTGTGTGTGTGTATGACTGTCTGCCTGTGTGTGTGTGTGTGTGTCTGTGTGTCTGACTGCCTGTGTGTGTGTGACTGTCTGTGTCTGTGTTTATGACTGTCTGCCTGTGTGTGTGTGTGTGTGAGAGACGGTCTGCTTGTGTGTGTTTGTGTGGCTGTCTGCCTGTGTTTATGTGTGTGACTGCCTGCCTCTGTGTGTGTGGATGTTTTCCTGTATGTGTGTGGCTGTCTGTGTGTGTGTGTGTGTGTGTGTGTGGCTGTCTGCCTGTTTGTATGTGCGGCTGCCAGTGTGTGTATGTGTGTGGCTGCCTGTGTGTGTGGCTTGCTGTCTGTGTGTGTGGCTGGCTGCCTGTGTGTGTGTGTGTGTGTGTGTGTGACTGTCTGCGTGTGTGTATGTGTGACTGTCTGCATGCAAGTATGTGTGTGTAAGACTGTGTGTGTGTTAAACTGTATGTGTGTCTGTGTGTGGCTGTCTGCCTGCCTGCCTGTAATTGTGTGTGAGTGTGTTTATCTACCTGTAACTGTGTATGTGTGTTACTGCCTGTACCAGTGTGCATCTGCCTGCGACTATGTGCATGTGGTGGATTTAACAGTGTATATGTATAACTGTGTGCATCTGACTGTGGGACTGTGTGCACATAACTCTGCAAAAATATACACCTGCATTCACACACAGACCTAAATGCATGGTTTTATCTGAATTAAATAATCACATACAGCCAATAAACCCAGCACAAATATCACATACAACCAAAACACGCATACCACACACTGTTAATACACCCATTACAAATATCACACACAGCCAACACATAGCATACATATCACACACAGTCATCACACCTATCACATACACAGACAACACAAACATTACATCATACATGGATGACGGGGGGGAACGGGCGCTGTGAAGATTTTTCTCACAGGGAGCCTAAAGGCCTAAGGCCAGCCCTGGTGGTGTAACACAATCAGCAAAGAGAGTAAGAGCTCACCCAGTCCTGGAGGGACAGTTTTGAAGCCTGTTTCAACATGATATGCCAGACGTTTTGAGATAAACTATCAAGCAGACCTCCAGCCTCTACTCCGCATGGAAAATCTGTCACTTGAGCCGCTGAGCCGAGACTCTGACTAAGCGCTGGAATGGCGAGTCGCGCCGGAAACACCGCACCTAACCACCCAAGATCCCAACGAGCTTCACGGAGGGTTACACGATGCCTGGATTGAGATCCAGCCAAGATCCGACTGAGGTTCTCCGACCCTGCTGATCTGCACATACTGGTTAAGTCTTGCATCAACAGTTAGTCATGTAAACAAAACACGTGTTGATTGCTTGTACATGCTACACCAATTACCTATGATATTCTCCTCTTGCAACTATCTTTTTTAAGTAATTGTGCTGATAATGCTAATATTATGTTTATGTTGAACCCTGTAGGACACGATGATGCTTGCTCCAGCTATTGTGGCATGGCAAGAGTTTGTGTAAAAAAAAAAAAAATTGTTGCTATATTCAAACACATGAATTCATTTATAATGCTAGTGTAAAAATAAAATATAATATTTATTTGTACAAATCCCCAGGCTCTGCATTTATGCTTTTAGTGATTTGTGCTGCAAAATTAAAAAAAAAGTCATAAGTCCATCCCACGGCTCATATAGTACTTGTATGTGCTTGGACAATAAGAACAGACTTAGTAATTGATTGAAAATTAATTGTAATTTCATAAAGGGTTAAGGTTTATAAGAGATCACCAGGAGTCAAAATAGTTTTTATATCGAGCATTCATTTTAAATCAATATTGTAGTGGATAAAAAAAGAAGGAAGAAATAAAGAAGAAATAGAAGTACCTTAAAAAAATTAATTGTGATTCCTGAAAGGGTAAAGGTTTATGGGCACACACCTTAATACATACACACGGACACATACATACACAGATACACACAGTGGAACATACACACACACACAGAGATACACACAGAGACACATACACACACCTTGATACACTGACACACACACTGGCACACAGATAGACGCACTGTCACATCCACACACACACAGATACAAACAGGTAGACACCAACACATACAGATACAAACACTGAAACACAGATACACACACACTGGCACATCCACACACACAGATACACACACTGACATACAGATCCACACACTGACACACATACACAGATACACAAATTGATAGACAGATACACACACTGGCACATATAGACACAACTGCACACACTGACATACACACATGGACACACAAATACAGACACTGACACACATATACATACACACACAGAGATACAAACACTGACACATATGTACACACACATTGATACACAGATACATACACTGACACAGATGTGCACACACACTGGCTCATCCACACAAACATACAAATAATGACACACAGATACACACACTGACACACACAAATACACACATTAGCACATCCACACACACAGACACACACACACACACACACACACACAGATACACATACTGACACATACACAGATAAAAACATTGACACACAGACACACACACTGACACACATGCACAGATACACAAACTAACACACACACACACACAATCTGACACACATAAACAAGTATGTTATAATTAATATTAAATTAATGATAGTGAGCATTAGGGTCTGCAGCACATCACTCCTGCTGCCTCCTCCCCATACTGTCTGGGATGCCACCACCGCCTCCTACTTCGTCCCGTGCAGTGCTCTGCATGAAGCTTGGAATAGGTGATCAGCTGTCACTTCCTCCCAGCAGGCCAATACTACAGGGGTCTGGTCATGCTATTTAAGGGCCACGGCGCCCCCTTCCCCACTGGAACATCCAGCTGCGGAAGGGTCAGTAGAGCTGGCACTACAATGACAGCCGGGTAGCTATTGGAAACAGCATTTAGTTGTTATGGTACTTATTGTGTTCCTCTAAACTTGTTTTCCAAAACTACTGAAAACACAATATTACTTTTCTTAGGTAAGAATATTTCATAAAATAAAGGGCTGGATTTGCTTTTCACACACACAAAATAAATATAACTAGAAATTAAAATAATTTATTTAACAGGAATTGTTGATACAGGGAGCGATTACATTAAGTTCTTTAGGGCAATTTATACATTCTTTTATTTGTCCTTTATTAAAATGCGAATACTTTATTATTCATCTTGTGTGAGAACATATCTCAGCTTTGTAATAGTATACGGGAGTTGTAGAATGAATCTATACATGAACTGAAAATATTATATAGATATATAGAAATT